CCCCCCTCCTCTTATCGTTCCTGTCGTGAATTCATTGCTGCCGTACTAAAGAATATGAGAATACGAAACGGACTGCTGAGCTTATGATTATTGGTATTAATTATTTTATATTCCGTATCTTGCAATATTCTTCATTAGTATTGTTCAGAAAGGACTGTAGGCTTTATCGCAATGTTGGTATCACCAGGAGGGCCTTTGTCAGCTCGATGCGCCGATGCCAGGAGATTGTTCTGGACTAAAAATATGGCGGTTTTTTCGATGAATAGTTAGTGACTGAACGAATGGTGCAGGTGTATTTTGTCGGGTTCTCCTTTGTATACAATTCTCCCTCCTTGGGCTCCCCACCCCCCCTCCTCCCAGTCCCCACTTTTTTCATATCTTAACAAAAAATCAAAGCGGTGAGGACATCAGTGGAAAGGAGGACAGTGTATTGTTACGGTAGTCCAATTATAGGGTGATTAAGCTGTTTCTTTTGCGTAAATAGTATATGCCTATTATTATGCCAAATCTCATTATGGAACAAGTGGATTTTGTAGGGGCACGAACTTACAAACCGTACTTTTGAGATATTTTTGTCCTGTATACTATTCCGGGGCAAAGCTCTTTTTTATTCTATTATTATTCCTATTTTATTTTTGTTTTTATTTCCATATGTGTTTTTCTTTTGTTTCTTTGTTATTCGCCTTCATTTTGCTTACAGCTGTTTATATGTTGTGCAGTAAACATGCATATGTAGTTTACATTTAACAGTTATTAAAAATAAGGCCGGATAAGTAATGACGGGGGAATAAGACAACCGACAGGTTGGTGCGGAACGATGCATCATTGGCCGAGAGGGAAGGGAGAGGGGATCTAGAAGGATTTATATGCACATATAAATCGAAATATACAAAGAATGCAGCTAGGTACTTATAGAAGAGCAGGTATTAACTCACTACATACAGCTCAGGGCGGAACAGCCTGAAATAGCTGCATCTGACGCATAGACTGTTCTGGCACTCGGGATTTCTACTCCGAAAATGTCCAGGCGATCTTGCTAATTTTGATAAAACAATCCTCATTAGAGTTGTCTTTGTGCTGGATGCAGGTACATAGTAACTTCAGCCTACAAGTACTGCAGCTACGTTGCTTCTATGATGTCCGCGGTGGAGATTCAAAAGCGATATTGTCAAACTGTCGGCATATTATGCAGATAACGCAATAGCACGTCTAACATATACTCAATGCATACGCACTGAGGGCAGCAAACATCGGTTATAGAGATTTCTCTCGTGTAATTTACCTATGTTGCTTCTATAAGATACACGGCTGCATATGTAAACGCCTTTTCTTCTGAGAGATCCTCACTCATCAAA